GCCTGGAGGGTGGGGGGGCAGAGGAGTCCCCAGCCAGAAACCTGTGGCCATAAATTGTCCAGGGGTTCTTGAGCCAGTCTGTGTTTTCAAACGTCCAGCCTCGCTCTCAGGTGACCCGCGCTAGCCTGAGTGCCCCACAGAGAAGAGGGCCAGCAGAAGACCCACCATCTTGGGAGCTCAGAGGAGACCCCGGGGGGGGGTCACATCTTGTCTCAGAGCGGCATGGAAGGTGTTCAGGGGTGCTGAGCGATTGCTCTTGTAGAAAGAGAAAGAGAAGTTGGGCTCCTTCCCCTCAGGGCAGGAAACCCCCCCACACACACTTTTTCTGGCTTGTTCAAAGACAAGCCGCAACTGCTGCTGGTGGTAACAACCTCTAGGCAGGGGATGGGGGTCAGGGGTGGGGGTGGTTCCCCCTCAGGTCTCCACGGCCAGGACCTGCTCCAGATGGCCCAACCCGAAAACGAAGTGCTGAGGAAACGTTCTGCTTTGTTTAGAAACCAGCACCTTTTGCTGGAAAAGGTAGTGAGAAAAGTCCACCCAGCCGAGCCATCTCTGCCCCCCGCCCGGCTTTGAGAAGAAGACCTACACTCCCTGATTCAGCCGGACGAGAAGGTGAAACTTGCAGGATCTGACCCGTCCCTGTGAGAGAGGAGGCCTTGGCTGAGGGTTCCTGCTTGGATCGAGTCCCTACATTACACAAAACAAACCCCGTCGCGCCAAACCGAGAGGAATGCAAGCCGAGGGGAATACCGACACATTCTCTGAGTTACGGTCAAAGCCTCCCTTTTCCAAATGCATTGCAGAAAACGGGGGGAGAGAAGCCAACGAGGCTCCGGCAGGGCGGGTGGCTGCAAATGGTGTGAGTAATGCTTCATCAGCAACAGCTGGAGTGTCGAGGTTTCTCACTCTCCTCCTCACACGCATTTCCCACATCTGCCTTTCACACGCGCACGCATCCAGTATATACTACGTCCTCTCCCCTGGAAAGCCCGCTTTGCCTCTCTTCAGCTCCGGCTCCTGGCCTCGATCCCTGCATTTTATGGCGGCTTTGCAGGATCTGGCCCTTCACCCTTCGCCCTCCCGGGTTGTACATGTCCTAGAAATCGGGCCCTCCTTTGCCCGTCGTGAAAATGTCTGTTCAGCAGAACATGAGGGGGCAGCTGCAGGAGCGCGACATCGGGAACCGCTCCCCGTTTCTCTCCCTCCGGGACGGGACGGGGCGGCCTTGGGGCGATTCCCGCCCCCCCCCCGCTTTTCCCAAGCTGGCCGAGCGTTCCCGGAACTGGAGCGCGAACAACCCCCACTTTCCCGGGGCCGGCGGGGGGGCGGGGGGGGCGGGTGTCCCATTCTGGCCATTGGCCCGGGTCCGGCGGGAGGGCTCCCCGTGGCCTCTTGCCTCTGTGTCGCCGCCGCCACCACTCACGGGGGGCTTCACCCGGAGGTGGGGGCTCCCGCGGATCCTTCAGCCCGGGCAACCCCCTCGGCCGGGAGGGGGGGCAAAGAGGCTCTGCCCACTGTTCAAGCCTATCTAGATCTTTTCACATTTTGTTTCTGTCTTCTGGGGTATTAACTATTCCACCTAATTTTATGTCATCTTCAAATTTGATTAGCACCCCCTCATTCATGTTATTAATAGAAATGTCGAAGAGTCGTGGGCCAAAGACTGAGGGCTTATCTGCATCACTGATTAATCCCACAATATGCACAGGAGTATTTGCTGGGATCTGAAGTATATGAGTTGCTGTCTGTGTCTCCTTGAGACACTAGTTAAGTAGCATTTTTACCTTCCGGGGCTTCCGGCGGCCTCTGGCGCCCCCTAGCGGGCAGAGCCGCCCCAAAGGCTCTGCTCGGGGTCTCTTGCTGGACTGCGACTCCCAGAATCCCCCGCGCAGCTGGTGGGGGAAGGGGTGGAAATTGGACCCCCCCCCCAAAGAAAGAGGCGCCTTTCTGAAGGGCGGCTTCGGGGCAGGCGCGAAACCCGCCGGCGGATGGCGAAGGGGGAGGGGCTTTTTCTCTGCTCCCGAGGGGGGGGGCGGCAGGAAACGTTCCTTCCGTTCCCCGGTTGCAACCAAAGGGGCCGCTGGTGGGGCAGAGAGGGGGGAGCGAGCCGGTCGGGGCCCAACCCGGAAGCTGCCGCCGCGCGGGTCACTCTAACCGTCGGAGTCTACATTACCCTCCGGGTGCCTAACGTCATTTTAGCGCGCCCGAATGGGATTGGGGAAATTAAAAAAGGGCGGTGACGCAATCCGCGCGCGCCCAGCCCGCCGGCTCCTGGAAGCCGAGCGGCCGCCGTTCGCCTGACTTGAGGCGGACGCGAAGGAGACCCGCGGAGGGTCCCGCCCACCCGGAAGCCGAAGAAGCCGAAGGCCCGCGCGTCTTCCCAACCGCCCTGCGAGGCAGGCCGGCCCCCCTCTCGCCCCGGCGCTTGCAGGCGGCTCGGTCCCGGGGCCCCTGCCGGCGTCGGTCTCTCCGTCCGTCCGTCCCTCCTTCTTCCTTCCTTCCCTCCAGGGCGCCGAGGGCGAGGCTGCCGCTTCTCCTGCCGGTCGCCATGATGACGCCCCGCTTCGGCCCGGCCAGGGGCCCCGAGGCGGCCG